TCCATCGGTGCCTCCATTAGAGGCTGAAACCATCTCTAACAGCAACAACACCACCTCCGATGAACTCCATCTCCAGCAGCAGCGCCACCATCTCTCTCTCGCCTCTCTCCCCCCTCCTCCGGCGACCATTTCCCTCGCTCGTCGGTTAGGAACCCCTCCTTCGACGACGACGCTATCAGAATCAATCTCGATCTCAATCTGGATCTAAAAAGGGTTAGGGTTAGGGTTTTCTAGGGTTTTGGCAGTGTTTTCTCTCTTTCTTTGTGTCTGGGGTTTGAAGAGGAAAAATGGATATTGGATCTTGATATTGATGACTTTGGTTTCGGTACACGTCATGGGGAGAGGGAGGGAGTGACACATGTATGGTGGATTTGCAGGCGAAGGTTTCTAAACATGTTCGTGGCTAGCTTTCAATGGTTGCTATCTTTTAATAGTTGTTGTCCTTTTATGAGTGTTGAGGATTGTCATTTGTTTATAGTTTCAGGTGTTTTTAAGTTGAAAATTATTTGAGGGGATATTGATTTTTTTTAGATCGTTAACTGCAATATGTCTACCAAGGATCAAGGCATGATAATCGATACTTACGCAATGATGATGAGGTTGATGAGTGATGATGAATCCTTGCTTGATTTCAGACTTTAGTCGCTTTACTTTTGAGATTTCTGACTTTTAATTTGTTTTATTTAGACTTTTGAGATTGGAGTTTGGACATGTCATGTGTTTGGAGTTTGATCTTTATTGCTTGCTTAGTATATACAGACTGTTATTATCTATCATGATATTATCTTGTTTTGCTCATTTATCCATACTTAAAGATTTTATTTTTTATGTCAAATTTCTAGTAGTTAATATAATGATGATGTTACTAATCAATTCTTTTTTATTGTTGAGAATTTTTATATTAGAGACTTGAAATTTGAAGGAATGGGATAAATAACGGTCTTTTTGATAAACGGGTACGTTTTTATTCTTTATAATCATAGTACTTTGTTAATATTTTACAATTATTACACATTTATTTCATGCTTAGGCATCAAATATGCATTTGTAGTATTTTTAGATCTTTTATACTTTTCCTTATTTTCTAGAATATTTAAATATATTTATATTTGACCACTATTTGACTATACACTATTTGCCGTTATTTTGCCGCAATAACCTCAAATAGTGTTAGCGGTATCTTGTCGCGCCACGACACTACCTGCTATCAGCAATCTTGGGTGATAGTGAGCTTCGACTGGAGATGGTGACGGTGAGATTCAATAAGGAGCTCAAGAAAAGGTGATGCGGCGATGATGATCATGATGAGAGCGAAGCTTGCTAAAGAAGAATTTGGAGGCGGATTTGGTGGTGGGAGGCGACGGAGTTAGCCCTAGGCAATGGACGAGGCGGCTAAAGCGGGAGTTAGGTTTAGGGTTTATTTTTGTATTGAGTCGCAAAAGCAAAGGAGGAGGGAGGGAGGGGGTGAGAGAAAGAGAGAGAGAGATGGAGAGACAGAGACAGAGAGTTTTTCTTAAGAGAATGGGTCGCGTTCAGGTTCGAGTTGGTTATAATATAAACCCGCATTTCTTTTTCCCAAAGTGTAGTTAAGCACTTGAAAGCGCTTTTCAACACTTTTAAATGCTTAACAGCACTTTTATGAGCTTTCTTATGCCCCTTCGAGTAGAAAGTGTCATGTTCGCTTTCATTGACCGTTTGTGAGTTGTGACAAAAGTGTACCGGTGAGGGTTATTGCAACGACTTGTTCAGATTATTTGGGAAAGTAATAAATTATAGGTTCTTACTGAGGAACCTTAAATTTTGATTCATATATTTTTTTTCTTCTCTTTTTGATAATTCTGGGCTTACTTTGCAAAGGTTTGGGAAGGCCAAGAGGTAATCTGCAAATACAATAATTAGTATTTCTGTTGTTTTGGCTTCTCTAGAGACACTGGGCTCTAATCAGTGGTTATAGTTATTTGATGAGTGTGATTTACTAGAGGATAATCAGTTAGTAGTTTATAAGGAATATAACTGAAACTTTAATATCTCATAATCCATTTTCGTTCCAGCTTCTGCTAAAACAAGTTTATTGCATTCTAGTCTTAAAATACAATTACAAAAAATGAGGTTGTATATTTATTCAATTAAATATTTGATACCAAAATACGTGCAAAAGTGAATATATGTCTCACCCATTTTAAGTCTTTGTGGGGAACATCTGATGCTAAAAAGGAATACATGTTTTCTATTTTGAAATTTATAAGAATGTGTAGCATGAAATTCTTAAATAATTTGAT